AAACTAACATGACGTCCTTTATCCTTTTTAATCTGCTCCCACAGGTGAAAGAGACATGAGGATTGATGATATGCAAAAACTGAAAGTGGTTGAAAACTTTATTTATGAGAGCATGAGGTACCAGCCTGTTGTGGACCTGGTCATGCGCAAAGCCTTAGAGGATGATGTCATCGATGGCTACCCGGTGAAAAAGGGGACCAACATTATCCTGAATATTGGAAGAATGCATAGACTCGAGTTTTTCCCCAAGCCCAATGAATTTACTCTGGAAAACTTTGCCAAGAATGTAAGAGCCCTTCCTTAAAACACTTGAAAATGTCAGCTGTTAAATCCGCTCTGGTTCCGTCTTTGTACCATGTGCTTTTCGTTCTATTTACTCATTCCCTTCCCACCTCACCAGGACAGCACGTTTCCCCTAGTTTGGAACACGGCCACCATGTCTGTCCTCAAGCCAAGGAGGCTGGGTCTCCAGTTCTGGCAAATGTCTCCACGGAGGCCACACGATAGGTCAAAATGTGAAAAATTCAGGCCCTTAATCTGCCTAAAATTCAGCAAATTTTGTTTAATCTAACCAACCCGCTTTTCCATTTAAACTGAGCACTTTAGAATCATGTAGATTCAGCTGCAGCATCACCCAAGCCATCGAAATCAAATCCGTATGTGCTTCAGCTGCAAATCAGATGAGATGAACAGATTCGGTGTTTGCAGTCTGCCTTTGGTTCCCCAAATGGCCCCACAAGCACTAGGCCCCACTCTAAACCGGCTTGGGAACTGGGAGAGCCTCAGTTTGGACTTTTTCTATAACTGAAGTGTGCTAGAGATTCTGCCTTCATTATGTCAAGTTTAGGCAATGAGGTTTTTTAACCTGAATTATCCAGATAGTTCCCCTGTGCCTCTTTTTCCATTTTCAATGGGGAAGAGACATGATCTCTTCCCCACTGAAAACCAAGCGTTCTGACTGCGTTTTCAGGGTGAGTCAGACAGGGAGGCATGGCTCTAGCCTTACTACTCTGGCTAACTGTCTGACTGTTTTCCTAGGTTCCGTACAGGTACTTTCAGCCATTTGGCTTTGGGCCCCGGGCCTGTGCGGGGAAGTACATCGCCATGGTGATGATGAAAGTCACCCTGGTCACGCTTCTGAAACGCTTCCGTGTGGAGACATTGCAAGGCCACTGTGTTGAAAAGATACAAAAGAAAAATGACTTATCCTTGCACCCAGATGAGACCTGCAAGACCAGGGACCTACTGGAAATGATTTTCATCCCAAGAAATTCAGACAAGTCCCTCGAGCACTAAAGAATGTTGATCAATGCCTGCCCTGGAACATTGCTCAACAGTATTCCACATGGAAACCACCATCTTTACCAAGAGGTCCTCCTCACACGAACATTTCATAGTGTATTATAGGCTTATCTCCTATGAGTTGTCAGCAAGGAGATACTACTCTTCTGAGCTTATCTACACCAGAAACCAGACTGCAAGAGAAAACATGGAGGCCAAGACTTTGTGCAAGAAGCTGCAGCCTTAAAGACCCAATTCCACAAAATGTGCTTTGGAAAAGACCCAGCAGCAGAACTATGACCTCCTCCCCGTGGTTTCTCCACTGCCCTGCCCTGAGATGGGAGTTTCTCATTGTGTGGGTAGAAGCACTCATGCTGATTAGAAGAGCCAGGCTGGAATCTGGGTACCTCGGATCAAACACACTTGTTAGTGTGAATAAGGGGTTCTGATTTGGTTTTCGGCAGGGCTGGGGACTGTAACATCCATCCTTTGAGAAATTCTTACAAACCCAGCATTTGACTTTTCCTATGGATCTGTTCAATTATCTCTTGTTTACTCACATGGGATTTGTCTGTGGCAAAAGTTAAATCGAAGACTATCCTTTCCCAATCTCTCTATTCCTCAGCTACTTGCTTCTGATACAAAAGGTATAGATTCAGGTAATCCAAGGTAATTTAGTAACAGCCAAAGTAAAATACAATTAGGACCATGTATCTGCTGTAGGAAGAAAATTCACACAATGCATTTTAAATTCAAATAAAATTCCTTTTTTCATGTTTGCATTGTTGCTTAGCTCCAGGAATGCGCTAACCAAGAGATAACTTTAGGTGATAGCATCTTAGCATCTAGTAACTCTTGCCGCAGCTCCAGCGAATTGAGGGGAGGGGAAGTCCTCTGAATCTATATCTGATTCTACAACCTAGTGGTTTAGAACGTCTAAGGACTGCTCCTCCTGTTCCATTATCCTTCTCCCTCCTTCCCATTTGCCCCTCTTTCTTTCCATGACCTCAAGAGCAACAGATTAGTAGACAACGTGGCTAGGGTAGAACTCCTGCAATCACTTTTTATCCTACTTCAGATTTCGCAGTTACTTTAGAGATTTAATAGTTACCTAGTTTATTTAATCCCTGTATGCAGCCTTGGGAAAATGCACACCTTGGAATCAGCTCTGGACAGTGAATCCAATAGATGAGTTAATTTTCCAAATACTACTTTCCTTGTATTATATCCATATTGCCATAAGAATGTATTTGCTGAAAGACATTTAAAAACTAAAAAACTAAACTCATTTACAAATATGTAAATGTTTGGTATTAAGTCAACCTGAATATTCTTCTCATCCTGCTGTTTGGCTATAGAGCAACAACAGTATAGAATGAGGGTGTAAGCTCCTGAGAGCGGGAGCTCTTTTCTTTCTTTTGGAACCCATGATCGTCCCCCATTCTTACTCCCCATATTTACTCTCAAGATCAACACTGAATTGACTCCCTTGCTCAGAGATACTATAATTGACCCAGAAATGAAGTAAACAGGAGGCCAGTATCCTAAGAATTCAAGGATGGGCATTGTAAGGGAGCAAATATTTGAAACTTGAACTATCTGGATCATCTGTATGACCTAAACATATGTGGAAATATATCTGTGTACTCAGATGTCTGTAGTCAGGTCTAGATGAGCATCCAAATAATTCAGACCCATGAAAGAAAAGCCAGGATTTTAGACTTAATGTATCCAAATTAATTTCACTTGATGATTATTAAGAAACAGTTTACTTTGTCTCTAACTGGAGCTCCACTGTAGAAAAAAACAGACTTTGGATCAGTATACTTCACCCATCCAATTCCCCTGAACATCTGCTGTATTTAATGTGTATATATGTAGCCAAGGCCATCATCTATACAGTCAATGTGAAATGGAGATGGATATAGTTGTATATAGATAACACAGACACAAAAATTTGCTAGGGGAACACTGGGGTGGGGGTTGGGGACAAGGGGAGAAAGAAAGTACTGGTTTGCATGATCTAAGCACACTATCCCAGAAACAAATTATCTGGGTAATTGTTCAACTTATCACTGTTCGGCCTGTATTGACAAACCTCATATGTTTGTACAGGTTTGACTTACAGAATTTGGAGTATCATTGACTTTTCAGTGGGCTAGTGAACTTATATTTGAAAACCCTGTTTTCTCTTCAGAATTTTGCCTAATTGTTAAGTGCTTAATTGTCACTCTGAATGTGCAGTGGATTCTGTTTTCACCAGCTCTCAAAGAACTAGGCTGTATAAATTATCAGTGAAATGCATGCATTTAGGGGCTCCATCATTTTTAAACTGTGACAACTGTAGTCTCGTATCTTTGGATGTTCCAGACACCTTCCTTCTGCCTTCAATTGACATTCTACTTCCCCTTCTCCCCAGTGGAAAACTATCTCATTCAAAAAAGCCCCACATACTGAGAAGTGCCAGTTGGAAATTGTCAATTTTTATTTCTAAACAGCACCCCTCACCATTCATGGTGCTAAAATTCCACATAAATGTGTGGCATTGGCGCACCAGAAAGAATGCAAGCTGGGCCTTCCTCAACCTCCTGTATTAGTTGGGCTCTGGGACTAAGTCTCTCACTTGTACTTGCAGAAAGACTTGCTAAAATAAACTTCGTCAAAGTAGGAAGCTGAATGGAATGTGTGATACTTTCAGCTGGATTATTTAACAAGCAGAAGTCAAGGGCTGAACCCTCCATGGCTCAACTCAGACAAGGCTTCCTGAATGAACTCCCTCATTCCTTCAGTGCAGCTTTTAGTAGGTGTTGGCCTCCATCTAGGGAGTCACTGATATACTCTGTTTACACCAGCTCAACATGACAAAAGGAATGCATTTAGATAAGACAACCTGGTCATTAAGTCCAGCCCATTAGCCCTACCTACCTCTTTCTCTTATTAAGAAGGCATTTCAAAGTATGAGAAAAATGAAAATCATTATATAAGTGTAAGTATAAAAATGTCTAGAATGTCAAGAATAAATCTGAAACCATTCTAATTATAACCAAAAGCATTCTAACTATAAACTGACTACATTTTAATTTTTAATAATACATTTCTTGCAATAAAGCTCTCAAGTTATGAGACATGGAAGTTGAGACTGTGGCCCAGGTGATTTTTAGTTCCTTACAGTTCACCAATTCCATAAATAAGGAAGCAGTGAAGCCTTGAATCTCAGAACAGCATTTTCTTAAACATATGTTTTGTTTAAACTTTCTATACCTCAGTTTTCTCATCAATTCAACGAAAATAGCAATTACCTCATAAAGCTGCTGTGAAAATTACAAGGGATAATTTATGTGACACTCTCAGCACAGTGTCTGGTATAAGGCAACCTTTCAATAAACCTTGGGCCTGATGGTAATGATGCTCAGTAATTGGGCTGATTATGACACCTTGAAAACTCTTTTCATGCAGAGGAGGGAGCAGAAGATGTACCAGATGCTTCAGCATCTCATCTTTAGCTTCCTGCACATGAGTGTAACTGCCCCAGGAAGCCCCATATTGTATTGACGAGAAGATGACGACCAGGGAGTTTGGGAGACTTGCCTTCAAGAACTCAGCCAGTAGAGGAGCTGGGTTCTAGTCCATTTCTCACCCCAAAGCCTTGGCCCCTCCGGCATGCCACCTCTTTGTGGCAGGACTCACTACTGGAAGGCTGAGGAGTCTAGTTCCAGGTTCTCAGCTCTCCACCACCACGCTGGGTAAACCCCTTTCAAGTCTTGCTCATTCCCCACCTCATTACCCAAGATATCTGAGTCTGGAATATCTCAGTTTCTTCATCCATAAAATCTGGATGATTCTAGCTGCCTTACCCACTTCCCACATATGTTTGGAGGATCTTTCTCAAGAGAGGTAGTGCACAGGAAAGTGCTGTAAAACTTCACTTAGCATAAGGTGGTAGTATTGATGTGTTGATTCCATCAGCTGCCTCAACAGGAAATTATCAGATTTCATTAAACTCTTACCTAACCACTAGGCACATTTCTAGTTTTGCCCTGTTTCAGTTCATTTCAGATGTGGCACTGCATGAAAAAAATAAAGAACGTGAAAAAAGGAGTAATTTACCATAAACTCACAGAGGGCAAACCAGACTTCATGATGGCCATAAAATCCTCTCCATTTTGGCCAAATTAGCAAATGCTAAGAGAAATAATAACGGATACCACAGAAATATAAAAATTCATTAACAGTATACTATAATTAGTTATATACCAATAGATTGGATAACCTAGAAGAAATGGGCAATTTTCTAGAAACATACAGCCTGCCACAATTGAGTCAAGAAGAAACAGATAATTTGGTCAGACTAATCACTAGAAATGAAACAGAATCTGAAAAAAAACAAAATAAACAAACAAAAAACAAACAACTCCCTGCATGCATGCAAACAAACTTCACTGGAGATTTCTAACATACAGAGGAGAAATTATATCAATCTTTATCAAAATATTCCAAAAGAGTGAAGAAGAAAGAATACACCCAAAGTAATCTAGGAATCCACCATCCCTCTGATACCAAAACCAGACAAAGACACACACCCCCAAAAGGAAAATTATGGGCCAATATCACTGATGAATAGGTGCAAAAATCCCAACAAAATATTAGCAGACCAATCCAACAATACATAAAAAACATCAGACACCATGATTAAGTTTCATTCATTCCAGGGTCACAACTGTGGTTCAACATATGAAAATCAATCATTGTGATACACCACACTAATAAAAGAAACGACAAAAACCACATGACCATCTCAATAGATGCAGAAAAATCATCTGACAAAATTCAGCATCCAATCATGATTAAAAATCTCACCAAAGTGGGCATAGAGGGAACATGTCTCAACATAATAAAAGCTATTTATGATAAATAAAAATCAATGAAATTAGAACACTCTCTCACAGCATATACAAAAGTAAACCCCAAATAGTTTATTAGAGATCTAAATAAAAGACATAACACCATAAAATTCCTAGAAGAGGCAAAACATTCTCTGACATAAATCATAGCCATATTTCCTTAGATCAGTCTCCCAAGGCAAAAGAAATAAAAGCAAAAGTTAAAAAAAAAAGAGAGATCTAATCAAACTAAAAAGCTTTTGCAT